GATCTTCACCTGGGAGTAGCCTGAGTATATTTTATGAAATCTAATAAATAGGTACGCCTAGTGTTAGCTGTTTTCATGATGATGATATTGGGTAAAATATCAGTCCTATTGGTTCAGTACTTTTTGCGATCAACCGGAACAAACAGATACCTTAAAAACCTCCTTTACTTTATATATACAGCTGTTGTAATAACATGTAGGTGAAATATTTATATTTGTATATTTAACAGTGTATAATACACAAGATTCAAAAATTTGCATTATAAATAGAAAGTATAAATTAATTATATTTTTATTTATTTAATTTAGTACAGTTTTATATTTTCTTGTTCAAAGGTATCAGAAAGGTTCTAAGCTATTTATTTTGGAAGTACAGATTTAACTATAAATAACGCTAGATTCGAACATTTACTTAGCAATATTGGAGACATACTGAAATCATATTTTATTGAACTTCCTAAGGTTATCAATATATTTCGCCTTCTACATCGTACATGCAATACCATCATTGTCGCTGCTGATATTGCTGCACTAAATAAGCAGGCGCTGAGATCATTCTCATACTACTGTCGACATCTTGTGATCCATGTAAATAATTATATCATATAATTAGTAACACATTATTTTGGACACTTATTTGTGGTATTGTTTTTGAATATAAGCAACATGATAACAATGTTTAAAAATTTTATTTTACATCACTCCAATATACAAAACAACTACAATATATTTCTTTAAAAATAATATAATTAATGTATATATTTCACAAGTATATTTCACAAGTTATTGTAGTTCTGTACACAAGTTTGGTTGCGGGGAGGCATTTAAGAAAAATCACAGTGCTTTTAATTTAATTTTACGAGAGAGGTCCTCGAGAGGTCCTTCCAAGAGGGTTTAACATTTGTTTAAAATTTCATATTTAGAAAATGTATGTATACAATATGAGAAAAAAGTTACACATTATGAAATCATTTTTATATTTCAATCCCGATTGTATGAATCAATATAGAACTTCTGAAGAAAGGTTCGAACTCATAAAACTACTAAATATTAAATGTGTTCTTTAATTACTAATGTTTTTATAGAAAGGTCACACTTTGTCAGTAATCCTTTCATTGCCCCCACCTTCAGGTGACTACTTTCGGGACGTAAGACTAATTTTAAAACTTGAGCGCCATAATTATATAAACTGATACTTAATGCACTATAGATCTGTATATTTTGCAAAAATTTAAAGAACATAGATTTATTTATTTATTACTTTTGACTTAAAAAATTTCTTTCACTTTACTTCAAGAACAAGAAACGATCAAGAAAGGAGCATCCGTATTATAAAAGGTCACATCTAGTTGGTCTATTACTATTGTAGACTACAATGACTCCGTAGGCATCTATGAATAAACTTATTGCTTAATAACCCAGAAAAAAATATACTAGAACAAGAAGGGCTTCATATTATGGTCACACTAAATAATGTTGTGTGTATGATGTTACACCGCATAAAATACGTCATACATTTGTGATGTAGTGGCATTAATATTTGTGTTATAGCTAATTTTGTCCAATTAGTCAATGATTATTTTGATCTTAAACGCAGACATTTATTTTAAACATTTTATATACTTTTCTAACGTCATTATTATACAAAAGTATGTTTTCTGACTCTTAAACTTGGGTATCAATGTTGGTAGGATACATTTAAATTGATTGCCAAATTGTTAATTATAGCATAGAGTAAAGAAACACTTCATCTACAGCTCTTTATGTCGTTAGTTGGAATCAATCATATCACTGTGTAGCTGTAATTCAGTAATTTATATATTACAATGGCCTTTACACACCCTACGATTTAATTTATTTATAAAGAAGGAAGACCATTCTTTCTGTTAATTCTCTAATAAAATGTCCAATAATTTACCCACTACCACTTGGACACGTAATTTCAAATTAAACATGGTTGGTAGCTTAGTATCGGTTTAATTTACGCTTAATTTATTTATGTGAATAGATTAAAAGATAGGAGACAACGAAGGTCAAAAACAACGTTTTGAATCAAATATGGAGTTGTTTTTACACTTGGGATTATTGGAACTGGAGTCACAAAAACAGTCACCACACCCTGTCTTGAACTCCCACATGAGTAACAAAATATTGAGGAAAGAAGATGCAGCTGGTCTGGCAAAAAACAACAAACGGGACTTGTTATGTAAATTGATTGCGATCTTTTGGGTTTTCCTTGAAGACAGGTTCATTTCAAACAAAAGAAGAAGGGATTTATCAACACGCAATATGGACAACGACGCTCAATCTTAAAAAGCCTTCTCACTCTAAATTCGTTGATATCACGTGGTTTAACATGATAACATTACATGTTTCGTTTCCCATTTGGTTTTGACTATTGAGATGTCAAACCCGAAACAAAAATAGAATAATTTTTGTAAAACAGAGATTTTTTGTATAGAAACATTACTTTACCAGTTATAGGTAATTGAATAAACTTACACTGCCTTCAACGAATAATTCGAGTAAAACACTGTTCTATATGATGGTGATATTAGATTTAATTGCACTGTTAATAAGGTTAAATCTGTATTTGAGTAATAGCAGTCAGTATACTTTTATTTGATCGAAATTCTAAAAATCTTTTGATGAAAAAAACGTTAAAAGTTAAAAAGTAATTAAAAAATAGGGGCAACAATTTAATAACATACAGGTACAAAAACCCATATCCATGTGTCAAATTTCCTATGTGTATTTCTAGTTAGTATGACGTCACATTAGAGGTCTATAACGTGACTTTACATAAACTAGAAAGACTTTAACACAAGAATCACTGTTTAACAATTAGTGGTATTACAGTATTAGTATTAATAACACCTTAAACAAACTTACAATTAGTTGTAAGAAATGTGCAAGACTTAAACTACCAAAGTTTTAAGGTAGTTTTACACAATATTTTCAAAATAAGAGAGTTTTGACCCTCACACCTAGTAATAAGTTTTCAAAAAGGAGAATGAAGATCATTGATACATACTATAAAAATATTAACGAACTACCGATGGATTTCATTTTTGAATGCTTCGTTGCTTAAAAATTGTATCTTGGAATATTCAGAAAGAGAGGCAATTAATTTATGATTGCTTATTGATTTGTCTTTTTGTTTGTTTGTTGTAGTTTGGTTTGTTTTTTGTAGTTTGTTTTGGTTATCAATGTTTTTAGGCAGTCGATAAACGTCTGTATTAGACAACTTTCAATGAAATTCCTCTTCAAATTAAAACCTTTCTCACTTTTACAACACGAAGCCCTTCTGGAGTTGACCTTACCTTGTTTCTGGATTGGGATTTCTTCATGTTGCAAAGTTTTCAAAAAACATTACACGGTAGCACATCACTAATTTCTTCACTTGCCTAGGCTGAGTAAATAGGTGATCTTCAAACAAGACATGTAAACATACCAGTAAAGTTAATAATTCATACAATTTTTTTTTCCTACAGTCACCCGACAAAGTTGGCTTCCTTGTACTGTTTATAGTACAGAAAGCTGCTAATTGCTGCATATTTATACTTTGCCGTACGGTTTATACTTTGCCGTACGGTTTATACTTTGCCGCACATCAGGATTCCAACGAAACAACACAAAACAGCGTGGTTCCATTATGCACGTAATCCGTGTACGCTTGGAAATAGGTTGGCAACACTTAAAGATAATTATACTATGAGCAGCTGATTGACTATTATAATTACGATTTAACCTGCCATTTCGTGTTTATAGTTTCGGTATTTCTGAACTTTCTGGACTTTTCTTTTAAACGTTTTTAAAACCTTCCTACGATCTTAATAAACAAGAAAATACCTTTTAAGCATTTTTTTAGGCGCGGAAACCACTACAAATTACAAAAACATACGGAACTATATTCTCAAAACGCGGAGCACATTTCTTGCCGAGGAAAAATAGTGGAGTGATATGGACCGCGGGTACTACTTTCTCTAAGGCACCATTTGTGTTGCCAGCTGAACCTAAAAACGTGTTGCATAGTGTTTGAAAGACTAATTATTTATATGCTTTATAGTGACTGTAGGAAAAATATAATGTGTAACACGAGTGAAAAAGGCCTTTGCTGCACTCGAGATCATTCCACACTCGCCTGCGGCTCGTGCGTAAACATTGCTCTCGTGTGCAGCAAAGTGCCACTTTCACCACTAGTTACACAAATAACTATTTAACATTTTTAGAATACATTTTTGTAGTTTATTAATTTTTATCCATTTCCTACCTACCAATTGATTGTGGGCCAATAAATATCTTCGAGACACCTAAAAAGTCTCCTTTAGAATCATCTTAACATTTTTTTTGAGTTAAAAACTGCTAACATTACAGGCCACATTTTGAAGTGCATAACAAATTGACAGTCAATTCAATGTTATGTGTCTAGGGAAAGGAAACCACAATAAAACCTTAACTGTATGAATGAAAATAATTTATTACGTAACAATAACAAATTAAAATCTAAAAAGATGACTTAAGTTATATCTAAAAACTATTTTTTTTTATTTAAGATTCCATAGTATCGTATCACTCTAATTTAATGTAGAACCAAAGTGTCTGAAAAAAAAAACTATATACAAATGTCCAATTTTTCTTCAACATTTTTAAACAGAAGTTTTAAGGTCTTGTAATAAAATTACCAATTTAGCAATAATATGCTAATTTTAATACGATTGCATTTTCATGTTGTATTAATACAAAATGAAATAATCAATTATGTTTTATTAACTAGTAAAACATTTCGTGAAAATTCTAGTGTTAAGGAGTCGTTTCTTGTAAGCCACTAATTAAACATGACCTTAAAAATTAAATTCTTATTTGAACCTTCACTATAAGTTTATTTACAGAACAAACTTGTCTTAAAGATCAAGACTGAAGTTGCTGGAATTTTGATCATAGTCCCAACAATTTCATCCCAGATGTTTACGTATGGCAAGTATTCAATGACGTAGATGTGGCCTACTTGATGAGTATGTCGTCATAGGCGACTTTCTCAGCGATGTTGTTGACCACCAACGTCACTATCCTGGACACAGCTTCCACAACAGCTGGTCCAAACTCTGCCATTACTTCCCGCCAATTCTCGTTGAGGAAGTTGTTCATGTTGTTACCTGTAACAGCCAAGAGTCGCCATGACAACGCCGCAGTTCATAGGTTCGGATCTTATTATAAAGTGGATATGAGTTGTCGGTAAACGCTGAAAAGGTTGTGGGCATGTGTTTGGTATATATTCTTTATTACTCTCTTAAGCTCTACATTTATAAATATGGAAGTACTGTTAGTATTTTACCTGGTGTTCAGGAGCACTCCTATATTTCTAAGTGTATAGTCTCAAAACAGAATTAAACTCACTGTAATTATTTTCTCATAGATTATTGTAAAATATTTAAATACGACTTTATAGTTTTCTATTCCGACACGACATTCAACATCAAAATTTACATTAATAACTTAGGTGAACTATTCTCAAAATAGTCACACGGTTTTGTTTCTGACCATACGATCAAATCCTTCAAATATAGAATATGAATACTAAATTACAGTGCAGACATTGAAAAACCTTTAGCGGAGTTGGTTTTTTAAAACTACATCGAAACTGTAAAATAAAACAAAAATAATGATGATCGGTTGTAATGCTATGTAACCGTATTGGACGCCCTCAAATAATGATTTTTGAAAAACAAAATTGTTAAAATACTTTAAATCATTTTTTACATTTAAGAATAGTTTGTGTTTGGGTATAGCATATGACTTTACCCTTATAAATTTGTTGGCTATCCAATCAAACAGTAAGTTTTAAAGGTTAACTGTGTAATCTTTTTCCTAAAATGTTTTACTAAAATCTAAATCCCTTTTCCAATTGCACTTTATTACTTTAATCCATATTTTAACGTATTTATACAAATAACTGTATTTACAATGAAGGCAGCAATCTATTGTAAGGCACAAAATAAACCATAGTACGTACCTAGATTTTCGTCTCCCTTAAACAGGTTGGTCAGCTTGATGTGAAAGCCGCCCGCTTTGAAGTCAATTTTGGGGTTCTTGACTCTGGCGTGGTCCTTGCCATCTTTACCCTTCTTGAGATCGTAGTCAGTTCTGTATACTATGCTGAGGTTGCCTGTGAGGTAGGAAATAATTCATAAGAGGGGGCAATTGAATATTTGTGTAGTGGGTTGTAAAGTAAATAAGTCAGATCGTATATTAAGTGAGGGAGTTTGATTTTCGGCGTGTTAGGCCTTAAAATGAGCACTGAAAGGGAAATGATTACTAAGTGGTAAAAGAGAAAAGACCTCTCAGAAGTAACAAAAAATTTTAAATATAGTGAATAACATAATATTGTGAACCTAAAATCCTGCAAGAACAAAGGCTATTAAACAAGGTAACAAATAACTATATTTTCTAGATCTTGCCAATGGGAAAATAAATAAAATAACAAAATGTCCCTCCCTCAGGGGCTTATCAGTACCAATCACAAGCTAAAATCCTAATTGGTTTAACAAAGCACAACGCACCACATTTTTTTGGTATCTGTTTAAAATGTTCGATATCAAAATCAAATCACAATTCGCCAATGTATATTCATTTCAAAGTCACGTCAGCTAATATAAATATATTTAGGCTACTGACCGGTGCTTGAATCAATTAACATGTTTCCACTAATATGTTCTTTTATGATACAAGTCAATATTATATTTTATACTCACGCAACGTGAGGTCAGCGTCCCCAGCACCCTCTATGGGCAATACGAGCACTCTTCCTTTGGCCGTGTATTTGCCCTTGATGTCCAGCTTGGGTACTGAGCCTTCCAACTCTATGTGCTGCTTCTTCAAGTCAACCCTGAGACAAAACATTTTAAGATAAAAATAACAAATAATAAAAAAGCAATTCTCAAGGGGTCTAGGGAATATTTCACAATTAATACAAAAATGTGTATATCATTTTCACATAGTTTGTAAGATCATGGTACGAATCGGATTTTTTTCCATCCAAAGACTGGCTTTTGTATTTTTGAGCGTCTTTAATTGATAGAAAACAACAATTTACGCTAGGGGTCAAACCAGCTACCTCAAATGCAAGCGCTATAACCTACTACTTAAAGGCTACTTTTGTTGGTATATATCAAACTATTTGCTGGACTGTTATTGCCAATAATTTGTGGATGGGTTGATTGCCTATGTTACGTTATAGCCTTTTCACCAATTAATAACGAATGATAAATATAATAAATACATAGCTGAAGTAGAATGTTGTGAAAACGAAAATTTCTTATTTTGGGAACACTGTTAGTGTCAGTATCCACTACACATAACGTCAAGCAATGAATCGTATATTGATTATTCTATTTTGGTTTTAAAGGTTTGAGACGAAATATTTTAGACAAACTATTATCCACGCCACCAATGCACGGAAATATAATTGGAAAATATTACTACAATCATGAATTTGGCTTTTGCATTATACTGTTGAAACGGTAGTTGGTTTTACAACATGCATTAAGGTGTTGGACATGGGTCGAAAAATAATCAGATTGTGTTACAAAACGAGTTCTTTAAGTGTTTGTAATATAAATACGGTAGAGCTGCACCAGTGTGGCTATCTAATAACTGGTTGAGCAAACCACAATCTTTTTTACTTTGCCTTTCGTCGCCTACGATCCAAATTCGGCTATATCAATTCCAGTTTACCAACTAACACCCGCAAAAATTTAGGAAATAAATAAATACAGCAAAAACACGAACTTATAAATTCCTGATTGTAAACAGCGCGCACAATCGTAATAACATGAGACTTCCCTTTGATTGAGCCAACTGATAACTCGCTCGTAGTTGCGTAACAACAGGTAGTTTACGAACAAGATAGCCTTTCTAGTGATATATGCTGAATCTAAAACACTTGTTGTACACGTCCTTGCTCGGTGTTAGCAGCTACCTGCTTCACACAAGGGGAAACATTGTGGATTATCTCAAGTTGGCCTTGTAACCTCTTCTTTTTAAATTAATTTAATCGCGTCTACCTTACACATTAGTTTCCATTGTGGTTTTTCTTAGGGGTTTTGTGATTTTAATTAAGGAACGCGGCAGCGTTCCGCCCCGCCAAGTCCCCCAGCGGTACACAGCTGCTGCAGTGTATATATACATGACGTGACAAAGTGGCTTTTTTACTCGTCTATAGCTCTGAAGAAACAAAAGCTATTAAAATAATTGTTCATCCACTGGATAGGAGCAATCATTCTTGGCAAAATAAAAAAAAGAATTTAAAAAAAGGTTGTGTTTGAGCCAAGAAAAACTAGTTTGAAAATTCACAAATTTTCCGTGTTCTCCTTCTTCTCCTTAAATGTTGACGGACCTACAGCCCAAACCACTGGCTCAATTTTAATGTTTTTTATGTTGTTTGAAAGCCCTTAGCGTGTAGATGTGCCTTTTGAGGGTCACAAGTCGGTGCGTTGACCCATAAACCCTTGGCAAGCCCTCAAAGTACGATTTTGGCCCATTTAAATAACATGGGATTAAAATCAAAACAAAAGAAGGATCAGCTGCGATTAAATCTCAATTAATTTAAAATGTTAGAGAAATTCATAGGATCAGCTGAAAAATTATTTTAAAACTTTTATAAAGTATTTTTTTCAGGTATACCGAATGATTTGAGCTACTTACTATATAAAATTACTTAGAGCAGTGATATTCCCCGATACTTTCCATTGAAAAATGCAGTGTACCGATGGTACACTGGTACAGCAGCTCGTCATTTTTAACAGTTTAATACTACTTATCAAAACATATGAAACCTAGGAACTTGAAACTTAGTACTAGTACTAAGGTTAGTTTTAACATTGTTTCTTCATAATATTGCCAAAATTTATTTAACTAAATAAGGTTAGTTTGATGTTTTGATACACTAAAACAAATAAAACAATCGGGAAAATCCGTCTACGTATGTTAAACAAGCAAAAAAGTGAATGTAAAAAGTGGTATGTAAATTTAGGATAAAAATGAGTTTTTCAATATTTGTTTTGCCTTATGCTATTTCTAACAAACCTAATCTGTTTGATTACATTTTTACTTCTCTAATAAGGGCTCAATTTACACTAGTCTTTAGATATACGGGTTTAATTATCGGAACACTTATGTAACACCAATGCATTTTATGTGTAGTTGTGCCCTGGTCTATATATAAGAGAAAAGAGGATTTTTATTTTAACTGTTAATTTTCTACAAAAATAAATACAATCTAACAAAAAACCACTAAGTGGTAACACTTCCCCCGCCAAGTCAGCAACCCAAAAAAGACAATAAATCACCACTTTTCCGCCAAGTAAAACAATGTAATGTATGTAAGTTTGGCCACTTGGCGGCAGACTTTTGCTTGATCACTTTAAAAAATACCATAAAATTAGTTTCATTGAGCAAGTATCTCTCCCAATAGTACATTGCTAGATGAGAACTTATTTTACAAAATTTGACCTTATTTGTGTCACATTTCATAAAATCATAATAGTGATGGTTTTATATTTACTGATTACCTCGAAATTATTATACTTAGTTGGACTAATTAATTAGAGAAGTTGATTTGTGAAATTATCCACCAACGTAACTTTAATGAAAAAAAAACAAGCAAAAGTCTGCCGCCAAGTTGCCAAACTTACATACATTACATTGTTTTACTTGGCGGAAAAGTGGTGATTTATTGTCTTTTTTGGGTTGCTGACTTGGCGGGGGAAGTGTTACCACTTAGTGGTTTTTTGTTAGATTTAAATTAGTAGACGATCTTCATTTGCAAGCGTTCTTCGGTTGTAAACTGGCTTTGAGGGCGATTAATGCCAAACCAAAAATGAAAGACACAAAATTAAATCAAAACAACAGAAATATTAGCTGTACCTATATATAAACGTGTAGCAAAAAAGAAGTGGACTGGTAATCCAAAAAAAGTTAACGGACTGTAGATAAATTTTGATGAAGCTAAGGTGCCCAAAGCACAAAACAGTCATTTTAAATGGGTGATTGGATTTTTGTATTAAAAATGCCTTAAGAAAAGTTAAAGACATTTTACACTATAAATACTTAAAGATTACTGCTAACCATAACATGTTTGTAATATATTTTTAGTAGGCAGTAAAAAGGTTAACAATGCTTATGTTACGACACATTAAACCTGTGAAACCTATGAAGCGATCTTTTGTAATCTATGTGATCTTTTGTTGTGTGGATTTTAGGAAATTGTATTGTAGGAAATTGCATACGGATGCAGATCTCGTTACCTGATGCACCCATGCTTTCGTGTTATTAAAATATGGGCTTATGGCTGCCAAAGATTTGGGTTAAGTACTTAATAAAATAGTAGTAATTAAGTGGTGAATAAACATAAATAGCAATACTTAACATTGTAAACCTGACACTTTATCAAGGAGTGAAATCTGGGGATAAAACTCGTAAAAAATACAAAGCAGGTACCTCTTAATCATGTTAGAGAACCTTTCTGGCACGTATTCCATTCCACTACGCACCCAACGATGGAGTGATCCCCAAAATGGCCGAAGATCACTTCCTAAATACTTAACATTTTTAGGTTTTGTACTTAATAACAAAATAGGTATTCCTACCAAACCTATCCTACTGTGTCCCATCCACTTCTACAGTATCATAGTTTGTTCTAGTCTAGTCTCCTAGGGCATCTTACCTGACAGCCTTCGCCTGCACACCCTTGAGACCGTGGAACTTGCACTTCTCACAGGTGAAGACCAACCCCAGACCTCCGCTGCCTTGCCTCTTGCTGTCCCCCACCACGATCCTGTCTATGACCAGGGGGTCGAGCTTGGGGATGCCGTACTTTGGGTCGCCTGAGAGAACAGCTGATTATTAGTATGGCTACAACATAAACATTGGCTAATACACATTGATAGGGACAGTTCATTGTCTTCATAGCTTAACAGACTCTTTTAGCGAATTTCCCTATAGGGAAGTAGCTATTACCGTAGGTGGCACGGTAAGACCTAGACCCGGGACCGATTTACTTTTTCATTTTAATGTCCCCAGAGGCCAAAAACACCATTCGTTCAAATTTTTATATATGTATATATATATATATATATATATATATAGACATATATATATATATACGTCCGTGAACGCGATAACTTGAGTATTTTTTGTCCGATTTTGATGAAATTTGGTTTAAAAGTGTAAAGCGGGATAAACTTGAATGAGTTCGCGAACCAGCACGATCGGACCATGGGAACCGGGCTTTACGGGGGGTTTTATGGGGTAAAAATTGGTTTTTCTCACTTTTGACCCTCAAAACACAAAATTTCCCGATTTCTCCTTAGACCTTTTTAAAGAGCTTAAAAAAACAAATAATTTAGTATATAAAAGTATTTTTGTTCGATCATTAGTAACGGAGAAAATTTAAAAAAAATTGTAAATTTAAAATTCCCATGTTATTCTTATGGAGAATCTTGTCAAATGTTGTAGTTTGCTTGTTTATGGATATATTTTGATCAAACTTGGCAAATTTATTTATTTTGTACTAAGCTATCAATATTTTACTCAAAAACACACTTTATCAGTTTCCTTGTAGCAGCAAACCTAGGTACTCAGGGCCGGATCTACAAAATATGGGCCCCCCTGCAAAAGTCCTCCAAGGGCCCCTACAGCTGCGTACGGGGCTCCGGGGGGTTTGGGGGGTGTGGAGCACCCCCCTTGATAAAAGGGGGGTCCGGGGGTCCCCCCCCGGAAAAATTGCACATTTTTATAGCCGTTTGGTGACTTTCTAAAGCAATTTTTAACGCCTAAAACTGTGTCCAATAATAGTCCAAAAACTCCCATTTCACCTGTTGTTTGTCACGAGCAAGTAGACATAAGTAGAGTAGAGTAAAGTATATTTTTTAAATAGTTTTTACCTTTTACCAATTTATTTAATAGATCAGATTTATTATCCTAATAGAACTAGGCCTATATTAAAATATGAATAGATATTGCAAAACATAACAACTAATTGTAATAACTAACAACTATTGTGGTTTCTATTTCATAATTTAATTTGCACTTTTTAAACCTAGTTTTAATTTTTAGTTTTCATCTAATTTCTAGAAAATCCTTTTCTACTCTTGCATGACTTTTGAGATTGGGTTATAAACTAAATCAGGTTTTGGCGGGCCTAGCTAGCAGCTTTAACTCAACTCTCTATTCAAAACTTACAACCTCACCACTGGCATACTTCGTAGAAATGTTTTCACCTAATTCATTGTTCATTAATTCGCACTTAACTACACTTATAACGAAAAGAAACAGAGGTACAGGTACAACTGTGTATATTAATTAATTATTTAATTTAATAACTATAGAATACCGGCGGCACGCCGGCACGCCACGATAAACATAACCTCACAAAACTACAGTAGTATTCACTATTTTGACTGATCTCTAAATAATTGCGTTGACAGATTATTGAGATCGCTCGCTGCACCCAGCGATTGTCGTGGCAATAGTTTAAACTACTGTTTGGACGGAGTCCCAAACGCCTTCGAATTAGGTCATTAGATAACGCTACAAAGATTAGTACAAGCACAAGTAAGTCCCTCCTGTACGACGACAGACTTATGACTTATTGTTCAATGTTCAGGTTCAGCTCAACTGATGTGAGAGTGAGTGCTAGTGCTAGTTGACACTTCGTCGTCCACGTCGCTCGGTCCGATCGGACTGTTACAGCACAGTGGATCTGTGAAGCTCGCCATGCAGCTGACGTGCTGACTGGACTGAGCTGACTGAGTATGGACTGACTGAAAGTGGCGAGATTGAACTGTCTAGCTAGGGCGAGGTCCCGAGTTGTCGAAGAGTAAAATCACAAGTCTAAATTTACTTAATAATTATAACTTTAGCTTTGATGTTGACAATATTTATTTGTCTGTCAAAACTAAACTTGCCGTCCTATTCAATTATGTTTATATGCATTAAAATAATTTTAATTTTTACGAGCTCTTTGGGCCCCCTAAGGGCTTGGGCCCCCCCGCATTGCGGGGTTTCGCGGTTCCTAGATCCGGCCCTGTAGGTACTTGTTAAACCTAATGTTATTAAAATATATTTAACTGAAAATCAATTCAGACAAATGGAAATTCGCTTAGTCGGCAGGTTTGCTGCGGCGGGGGTATTTGAGGTTAGCTTAGGGAATAATGTGATTTAGTTATGAGAATTGTTTGTGACACCTTCACATCCTAGGACACTAGACTTTAGCCCTGAACCGTTTTACACAGGCTAAGCCTAGAGGGCCACGGTATAAAATCACATAGACAAAATCTATTTGTGACTGGAGGGATTTGAGCCCGTGACCTTCAAAACTGAAGCCTTGCACTCTACCACTAGACCAGCTTGCTCCCTGTCATGAGACGAACATTGTACTAAACAAAAAAATTCTTTAAACACGTATTTTCTTCTTACTCGATTTGATATTTTAAAGCTGAGATTCTTCTACTCTTATTTATTTTCAAGCCCTATTTTTAACCTCTTAGCTAATTTTGCCTAAATTTTCATGGTCAGTTTATGTTCCACTTTTTTACTACGAAACCTACTTTATTTTGGTAACTAACTGTACTTTACCAGATTTAATAAACTCTTCAGAAACTATAAGAGATTCTAGGGATTGGCTGAAAAAAAGTTTAACTAGTAAGTATGTATGCACTTTCAAACTATAACTGCCACTACGTCCTAAGCCTTTGACAAGGAAATATCAAGATAAACTGCTATTTATGTGACAGCTAAAGTACAGTAGTTTCAGTGAGAATATGCACAGGAAAAGCCAAACTAGCGTCACTGATCGTTGGTAATGAGAGTATTCATTGAAACGTAATGATCGGTCTTCCTGGAAATATATTCTTCTTCATTTGTCAGAAGATTCCTTAAGGGGCGGTTTGGGAGCTCGAGCCCAGCTAGTACGCGCCTAGTGTTGGACGCGCCTAACTTTAGTCCCCGGACCAGAAACCAGGCTTGGGAGCTCGCGCCTAAGTTGAAATGGTCGTAGATCAAGTATAGTCGCGCCTAAGTTGCAGCGCGGCTAGATGGACAGGGAATCGCGGGGAATTCAGGTTTTGACGTTGGCAACGGCCATTGCAGAACCCGTTACCGTTGACAACAACAAAAGATAAACACTTATTGAAGATGGATACAATTTTATCTTGGTATATCAATGGTGGCTAATTAGTAGACTATGGTGTGTGTTTCTGCATTGTACCATTGCAAAAATGTAGTTTTGTAAGATCGTTGTTTTACATCCCAATGACTGAAGAACCGTAATTGTTTATATTAAATTCTTTTAAGATCTAACTTTATTTTCACTTTACGATTTATTATTATTTAATCAGTTGTCCTTAAGTACTACTATTTGTCTTTTAAGTACTACGCCTTATAAATACGTACAGAGCAACAGGATTAACATCGGAAACTCGGTTTCATGCAATAAAAAGCTTCAAAATTAAACAGTAATTTCCCAGTATAATATAGGGGTATTGACAAAAAATAATAAAAAGTAATTGCGGAGGTTATGATTGTGTGAAGCCGAGGTAAATGTAAAAAAAATGTTTTAATACAGTACTTAGAAAAAATTGTTGTCAATTTAAAATCTTTTTTTACATGACACTCTTTTATCTAATTTTCCTAGGGAAGTATCTATTACCGTAGGTAGCACTTAGTTCCGGGACCGATAAACTTTTCCATTTTTATGTCCCTAGAGGCCAAAAACACTGTTCGTTCAAAATTTTATATATGTATAGCCTATATATAAATGTATTACATATACGTCCATAAACGTGATAACTTGAGTAATTTTTGTCTTATTTTGATAAAATTTGGCATGAAAGTGTTTGTGTGAAAGTTAACAACAGACGACCTTAGTTGTCATAAAATGTCTATATAGATTTTTCATCGTACTGGCGCTGTATGATTTTGACTCTAACGACTAAATTGAAGATCCAAATTTCGACGAATAATTTAATTACTATTTTACAAAACCTTTTAATTGAATGGTTAGTATAATACTTCTGCCCCTTAAAATCGTGTTTGGCATATACTTAGAGGTAAAAGAATAACATCTTATAAAACAAAAACAGTAATTTAATGCAATTGTAGTGTATATTTTTCTTGTATAATGATGTATGGGTGTTAAACTTTAGAGAAAATACATGTTATATGGTTAAACCAGGAAAAAAGATTAGTAATGGAAATTGGCAAAATAGGGAATTAAAATATTGAAAACAGAAATATATCTTTCAGCTTTATTACACTGTACATAGTCTACCTCACCCAAAACGAACAGATACAAGACACAAGTGAAGGTAATATGACAAATGAGCTGTTTGTATTTTGACCACTAAACATGGCGTTAAAAAAATGCTTTTATGTGTTTCCCTTAAAAGTTAGGATGTCTCTTTTAAACATTTCTCTTTCCTGCTTGAGCTTTTTCCTTTTGCCACTTAACTGATCCAATCTCGGAGTTGAAAGGCGCGATTCTCCTTAATGAGTTCGCGAACCAGCATGATCAGACCAAGGGAACCCGGAGTTGTATAGGATAAAAATAGTTTTTTTCTCAATTTTAACCCCTATACCATAAATCTTTGTCTTTAAAATATTTTAAAGAGTAATTTAAAGAGTAAAGAGTATTTTAAAGAGTATAAAAAACAAATTAATATCTTAAAATGTTTTGTACGGTTATTGGCTACAGAGACTATTGGTAAAATTGTAAATTTTAAATTCCCATGTGATTCTTATGGAGAATAAGTTAAGTTAACTGTTCTAGTGTGGTCGTTTATGGATATATTTTTATGAAACTTGGCAAATTTATTTATTTTTTATAAAGCTGTTAATATTTTGTTAAAAACACACTTTATTACCCTCCCTGTAGCAGTATACCTACACCGTAGGTAGTTTCAGGTGCTTGTTAAACCTAAAGTTATTTAAATAAATTTAATTGAAAGCTCTATTAGGTTATTTGGAAATTCACTTAGTCTGCAGGTTTTCTTTGGCGGGTTATTGATATACTGTATATATTTTCTTATACTCCAAATAATCTAGGTACTCCATTTTGATGTAACTAGCACTTGGTCAATGACACTGAACTGAGCTCTATCACAACGCAATTAAAAGATAACGATTATGACTGTGAGCTATTTGCAGTTTTTTATGTTTTGTTTACTATCTCTTCACTCTTTCGTAGGGGGTGAATGGGGGTATGCATGTGGTTGCTAATTATTTTCTTACTAATAAAATATTTATAATTAAGGTACGGGTGTTATAGCCAAACTCTCAGTTGAAAGAAATTCTATTTAGGGTCCATATTTGTATTGCAGTTAACAGTAAAAACAAAAACCAAATAATCTTTCGTTAAATTTAGCTTTCTGCAAGATTTTCGTTTTATTTTGAACAACAGAAAACTAAAAAAAAAGTTTTATCAAATATACTTTGAGAGTAATGAAAATGTTCAGAATTTAATAACGAATTCCAATATAACATTCTTTTAGTTTATATGTAAACAATTAACTTGCTAATGAGCTAATACCGGCATGATGTCGACTTAGACCTGCCCCCTGGCAGGACTAAAGTTGGGGACTAAACTCACTGATTTTTATGACGAAAACATATCTCTTAGTCCCGAAATTGGTCTCCCAAACCCACCGAGACTATCTCTTAGGCTGGCGCCTAAGTCTACTTGACTCCCAAACCAACAATATTTAGGCGCGAGATTATCCCTGCACAAGTTAGGCGCGCGCCTTACTGATCCCGAGCTCACAAACCCGTTTTCGAGGCGGCAGCCTAAAATACCGGAAATATCCGGATTTAGTCGCGGACTAGCGCTAATACCGAGCTCCCAAACCGCCCCTAAGTGTCATTTCTGTGTCAATTCCTTAAGGACAAAGTGTTACTTACCTTGTATAATAAATGGAAGCGCCTCCTTGCCATGCTTGAGCGCACACTCGTTCAACTTGGGGTCATTTTTTCGGCATGGTTTCATATAATGTGCTGAAACAAAGAGAGACTTTTTGATATTTTTTGTTTTTATTACGAATTTACTTCTACTCCAAAAGATAGTAGGAATTAAAAAAATAGTCTAGTATGACTTGTTTTATGTATTGGTAAAATTATAAGCTAATGGCGTGGTTTGATTTTTCAGGATACTATCATGTACAGAGTGTCCCGTAACTCTCTGTACATATGTATATAGCGTTATTGCTTAGGTCAAGACAAACACATTTTACCACAGGAACATGGGTCTGTGGTGCCTAGTTTTCCGACTGTCTGTATTTATGTATTTTTTACAAAAAAATAATAATTCCTAAACGGTTTGAGATACAGCGTTGAGATTTTGCAAAAATGTTTATCTTATTAAGACTTATTTTTGTCTAAAATAAAAAAAAATCATTAACCGTTTTAAAATAGCAGCCATTTAAAATATTTGATGCCAAATTTCACGAAAACCGTTAACTTAACGAAAAATTGCAGACAAAAATCTAGTAAATATTATGTAGTTTTCAAGTTTTCTCTGCAAATTGCATTATGTCACTTTTCATTTCTTGTTATACTGAAATCACTGTCAAAAGACATGAAGATTATGGTACATTAATGTGGACATGTGTTATAATTAATTGTACACCGAATAAAAAGAAGGAAAAATAGGGAAATTCGCTAAAACGCTAAAAATTTGGGATGGAACCCACCCCTTTCATACTTAACCCCAAGATACTAAACACTAGGCTTTATCAACCCAACCCTGTTTTAAATTTGTTAATCTTGGACTCGTAATTAACAATCATATTGAGTTTCCAAAATGTACTCTAAAAGGATTCAAACAAGAAGATTATGTCTTATTCACAATACAGCTTCTGGCAAGTTTTATATGTTTAACATAAAAATACGATAACTATCCCAATCCTGTCATTGGACACATTGGACACCAAAGTTCCTAATACAGTAGTTCCATTTTCTGTAGAACATTTTCTCGTTCCCAAACTTACTATTTTGAAAGCAGTTGGCCTTAAGCCTGAAAATTTAAATGTTGCATTTCTCTGAAAGGTGAATTCTCATTTCCTTGCCAATCTTGAACTTTGTCTGTTTTTCTGTTCCGATGTTATTGATAAGCTCTATCTCGTGACGTCAGAACCAACGTCACACTACAATATTGTATAAAGCTGACGCAGAATGAAGACATCCTTGAAACTGGTTCTTATTTCAACGGGAACCAGTTGTCAACTTCCACCTTACTGAGACTGTCACGTTTATTCACTAATCGACCATGTAGAGGGTTTATGATCATGTAAAGTGTTTATTTGCTTCCGTTTGCATAATAGTTTATTTTTAGTTCTATAACTGAATATTGTGAAAGACATGGAAATAATCAATTTGTAAGAGACTGAGAATCTCGAAAAGTGTACTTTGATGACTTTTGGATATTCTTTACACTATTTCATAGACTATTTCAATATTTCATTTTAGCTGTAAGAAACGTTACTGAAAAACTTTAACGTATGCTATCAACATTTTCATTGTTAATGATGATGTAAACCCACCTAAAACTGTTGGACACAATTTTAACTTAACTTTTGATCTACGTAAATTCGCTAAATCAAAATACTTTTGATCGTAAAACTAGTAGTTTTTTTTCAGTTATTCATTTGATTATGACGCATTCGTATCATAACGAAATCTATAATTCAAGTAAGGTACGACAGTAAATATATTTAATACAGTCCTCTATTAGAACATTTATAACAAATGCCACGTGCTATCAAATACCACATATATTTGTTAATCCATTGGTGTAACTGATTGATCTGTAAGTTTTTGTCGTTTTTTGTACAGTAGGTAAATATCCAACAGCTTCCACAGGGCAAGTGTCGCTATACCCGGAAGCAGGTAGGCCAGTACAGGTATACGGTATCAGTTAGGTATATGACCTTGATTACACCAGTGCATTAGCATGCCACTCACGTTTACACGAACCTTGGAACTCGACCTTCATTACTGGCAGACGATACATCCGTCAAACTTGCCAATTTTGATGGAATTTTACGTTTTAAATACTTTTTAAATGAAATGGTGACCTACAAAGTAGGTATTTTAAGCCAAGTATGAGTGGAGATGAGTGTAGGATGAGTGGTGCGATCTTGTTGTCTTGTTAGTGACTAAGGCCGACTTATTCCTTAAACGCAGATGTTAATTAATAGCCCATACAGCTAATGGCAACTAAAGGGACCTACAGTTTATAGTGGAATCCGAACCACATTTTTGCCTTGGTATATACGAATTGGTCTAATTTTCAGGATAGTACTGTGGATAGTCGTAGTACTCACTCGTGCGGACGTTACACCAGGGAGTCGCATCCACAGTGCATGCCTATAAATATTCACAATTCACAACCTCCTAGTAACTGGATTACAGGACGACGCCACCCTGTTAATAAACTAACAGTTAAGTTGTGTGAAGAGATTTATTTCAACTACTCTCGAAATTTTGGCACTCGTACGATAAAGTTTAGACAACATGTTTAAAACTGTGCTTCTGTCTTAAGTCCTTGAGGAGGTTTTGGCACAGTTACAAACTTTTTCATTAGTACCTGTTGGTCATATTCTCTTCCGTATAACAAGAATCTTAGTGCTTTGTACAAACATTGTGAGAACTGATTGATTATTCAACCAGCTGTGTAGGATCAGAATTATCAGTGAACTGGTCTAAGTTTTGGACCTTCAAGGAGTGCTCAATTTTTTCGATCAAGGTACTGGATTGAACCAGTTACTTTAGGAATAACATGGAACTACATAACCACTCTATCTCACAGCCCAGGTTGAGTTAACGAAGTTAAATTCAAAGAACTGCAAAACTGATGTGAGAAATTTATAACTTGCAGTTAACAATTAAAAATAATTACCCATGGGTTGGACATAGGAGGAGTTAACAATTAGTTTCACCAATTTAATTGGTTACGCAACAGAATTTATTGCAACCCAAACGTGAATTAATTTAATTTTAGTAACTATCACTGTAAATTAATTTACCCAATTTATAACCATAATTATTATTAATTTGTAAAATTGCATTTTTGTTTCATCTGTTCTTTATATGTTAAATATGTAGATTTATATTAGATTAATAAATCTCTTTTTTTATTTCTGTATATTTTTTGTCAGGTTAAGTGTAAGAGAGGTTAAGTGAGGGAGGTTAAGTGTCAGGCCATGTGGTAACTTTGCCTGGTAAAATAAAGAATTTTTCATTTTCATTTTCATTTTCAACCATAATACCGTTCAAAACTCGAGCTAAATGTTAAAATCTGCTAAGGTACTAGTCACTACGTCAATTGAATATCATTGATGTCATTCCAAGAGGAATCAATCAATGTAAATGTAAGCGATTGATCGGTGATTCACCTCCTGGCCAAACCTTGGCCGTCACAAAGGTTCAAGTGCGCAAAAGAACATTAGCACATTTCTGATTATAGGCCTTGCAAACATGAATGAACGGAAAAGGAGCAGTGATTAAGCACGCATTTAAGGTTTGTAAGTAGATATAGTTTAATAGGTCTACTGATGAAGTCATTGGATTGGTCAGTCATGTTTGATGGTTCACAACTCGATACAGTTGTCCTTGATCATTTGACTTATAAATGATCTGGCTCAGTAACTTTTAAATGATCAAGTTTGGTGTTAGTCAGTAACAAAGCTACAAAAGGAAACCCATAACATTATACGCTCACTCTTCACTCATATTTGGGTTAAAATCTGCCCTGTTTCGTTTCCATTTCAATGGGCAATGATAAGGTTGGATATTAATATATCAAAAATTAGTACCATAAAAATGCAATGTCCCCAGTGGTCTAACGAATCTCAAAAGTTAACTTAGTTATTTAATTGGAGTAAAACTAGAACGTCAGTGTGTATTTTGAAGATACAGTACATCTCAACTCATTAATATTCGGTAAGACATTATGTGTTCCTTGCTCTTTGGATGAAAAACATGCGAATTGCAAACTATCTACTGGTCAGAGAAGTAAATTTACTTCTCTTTAGTGAGTTTATAATGTACAGTTTATTATACTGGAAACAAGTTTGTTTACACAATAAATGTATTCCCTTTCAGTACATTATGTGTGGTTAACTCGTGATAAACCAATCGCAATAGAACTGTCTATAAATAAACTTTACTCTAAAATAAAGCTTTAGTAAAAACTAAACCACAGTATTTAGGATTGTATTTCGATATTTAAAACTTTATATCACATCGTTACGAATGCCAGATAGAACAGTTCAAGTAAAAACCTTTAAAACTATTGACGACTACTTGTCCGTAGAAGGTTAAAGGTCAATATCAATATAATACAATCAATATAATCAATAACCAATATCAATAAATAATCAATATTGTATAATCAATATAAATATAATCGATTGAATAATTTAGGGCAAAACATATAAAACCATACTGTATAGGTATGTTTGTGTTTAAAAGAACAATAACCTGAAATGTTAAAACATTAAGATGAAGTGACCATACGAAAAATCTGAAAATTGATACAGTTAGTCTTGAGTTTATTTCATATTGTTTTTAGAATGGTTTCCCATTTGATATTGGTTTAAACTAGGCTATGACATAGAAAGTATAATTTAGGACTACGGCATGTACTAGTTTGATCCAGTGGCACTATAAAACTAAGAATACACTAGAATTTCAAAAATCTTAATATTTTCACTGAATAAGACTAAATTAACTTTACCACCCGAGTGTTTATAACTTTCGGCGTATATCCATTTATTGAATACCAATCACTTAAGAATCAGAGGTTATGGGAAGTTAATCTATTTGGCATTCGCCGATGCACTATATCAGCTGTAAAATGGTCATACGCTGTGAAGTGACACCCCAATTGTAAAACTTTGTTGTTATGTGGAAATGGTTAACGGTTCAATGAGAGAAAACCATCCTTGTATTAAGTATCTGTATTTTGGGGGGTTAAAATTATCACTGTTTAACAC